AAAAAAAAAAAAAATCTTTAAAGCTTTGTCTAATAATGTATAATAAATATATGAATTTTTTAATTTGTAAAGTTCCTCGTACATAGCACGGGCTTATCGATTTATCTATATATCTATCTATATCTATACTATATATTAAGCAAAAAGGGGGTTTTTAATTCCAAGCTTGTGGAGCTCAACTCCCAATCTAAATTTCCTGATTTTTGATTTAAAAAAAAAAACCTTAAGCATTTATTAACTTCTCTCCAATCCCCCAAGTCTTACCTCATAACATTGCTGAAATGATGGGTTTTAGGCGGCGTTTACAAACGCCAACTATAAGGTCCTAAAAAACGCCGTTAAATCCTTTTGCGACATTTAATACCGAACGCCGAAGATGCGCCGTCCCTATACTTTATGGCGCGCTTTAAGAAACGTCGCTATATGACTATAGGCGGCATTTTTAAAGGCTCTACCTAACGGTAATATGACGTCACGCATCTATTTAGCGACCGTTTTTTAAAATAGGCCGTTGTATCTTTTTTTCAAAAAATTCAAACCGTTGGTATAATATTAGCGACGTTTTTGAAACGCCGTGGTAGCCTCTTTTTTTATTTTTAAATTGTGCTAATTTTATGTTATTGAACAAAAATACTTGTAATTAAATGTGAAAAAATAGCCAAATATGAAATAAAAACTCCTATTCAAATGAACATTTAATTCACCTTTCCCATTTCAATTTTAATAATCCAATCACCATTAATTTACAAAAAAATAAACAAAAAATAATTCCAAAAATTTCAAAAATGTTTTTTTTTAAACAAAAAGAACCCCCATTAGCATATAAAGAGAAATGTTGTAGGCTATAATGATGGATCCAACTATACAAGAGATGGCCAAATACTATCAAAAAATTACCCCAACTCAAAAATATATCTCTACTTACAAACATAAATTTCAAGTGGATGAGTTAAATTCAAATTGATGAGAGAGTTCATTGTTGCGTCTTCACTGGTCTACATGCCTGCATCAGGAATATAAAAGTGTAATCAATTTCAAAATAAACATAAAATTGAAAATTTTGTACGCAAATAACTTATGGCATAGTAGACGTCCTGTTTTACACACCCACATTTTTTCCCATGACAACCACCTGTTAGATTTGTACTCAAATAAACATATATACTATATATATTAGTATACTTTAAATATAAGATCCGAACCCTCTGAAATCCAAACTTTTAGGGCTGAAACTCAATGGTACCAAACTCAGTGGCAATTTGAAAGCACAATGAGAGAAATCAGGAGTTTGGCCCAATGTAGAAAGTTGGTGGCAGAGCTCCTCCAGTTCCATTTTCCATCTTCCTAACTCAACAAGTAGATCTTGCCTCTGCCCTCATGAACAAAAGGCCATCTTTAAAGCGCGAAAGGGCATCCCATGGAGTCATATCAATGGTCAATAAAACTATACATAAAAAAAAAAATTGCTGGATTTCTTAGAAAACTTAATAAAAGTAATCCATAAAAACTATTCAGAAAGTCCCAAAATGGAAATCCACATCTGCTTCGTGCTTCATAATTCGAACATGAAACATGTCAAACACCCCTCTAAGCAGTTAAAACAGCCCCCCATCCCTTCCTCAAAACACCTATTAATATACCATAACTTTTTTTATTATGTAAAAAATAAACTTTTTATGCACACATGCACATATGGCCATGAACAAGAATGTACACAGAGACAAACAAGTAGTTCTGCATATGTATTTTTAAATTTAAAATACATGATTTTGTTAAAGGCACATGTTATGAAGGTTAAAATGATTGTACATTCTATGCTTGTACAATCAAAATCATACAAATATATGTACACTTAGGACACACATTAACAAGGCCCTAAAACATAATATGAGCTAATACCCCCTTGAGAATTATGTCAAGAAGTTCTGCCCCTGCTTTTGAACCAAATACCTCAGCTTGATGGCTGTTATTCCAAGAAAAAAAGAAATTTGAATTCATCTAAACAAGTAGAGTTACTGTCATCAAATTATTTACAAGTAGAGTTACTGTCATCAAATTCTCTTTTATGATGTATTAGTGAATCCCATCATATTAATATATACCATTTGTATACTTTTTAATAATTTAATTATTTACAAGTAGAGTTACTATCATCAAAAGATTTATTATCCTCCCTTTAAACAACAATATGATCATGCCATATGAAAAGGGCTACTTTTTTGGCAAGCTGATTAACATCCAAAGTCAATTTTTGTGTTCATTGGAAAGGGTAGTTCAACCAAAAAACCTATAATCAAAGTTAATTTGTCAACAATTACTATCATGGGATTCAAGACATATATAATACTTCCTTTTTCTTGCCAACAATTATTGAAACTCTTTCCTTTGAACTTTTGATTAGTTTCACCCGTCACACTCGTTCAAAAGATAAGAAAAGGTTATAAATAAATAGACAGAGAGAGAGGGCATTTTTATATGTGGATGGAAAATTCATTAATCCTTATTCAGCCAATTTTCAACCATGGCAAAAAAGCACCAAATTCATTTCTACTGATTCAGAATTATGAAGAGCATGCTGAACAACAAAAGGTCATATATAACCTACTCATGAAAACCAGCAGGATCTGGTTCCATTGACTCCACTATGTTATAATCTTCCATGCTTGCTGCATAGAGACCAGGGGCCTGTGCCAGCAGAAATTAAAATGTTAAGATGCAAATAAATATTAGACAATTAGAAATTATATAAGACCAATATTTCTAATAACCTTCTGCTCTGTAGCTTGTTTGGTATTATCCTCCCTAACAAAAACAGCAAAAAGAGTAGCAGGATTGGCAACAGGATTCCTGGCAACCTCAACCAGCTATTGTAATGACTCTAGAGATCCAGGCCTAGCTGCAAGCTATAGGTAAGATCTCAATCAGAACCAGGCACAATCTGATTTAGCCACCATATCAAACAAAATGAATAGTCACAAACCTTTAGCCAACGCATCAACAAAATTATGAAAAATGGCCAGTATAAAAGAACTTCAACAGAGACAAAGGAGTAAAATAAGGTTAAAAACCTGCAGCTTCTTGGCCAGTCATTGTATCCACACCAAGCAAAACTTCTGTGGGATTTAGTGCCCGTTTAACTTCTTTCAATTCATCCATCATTGTCTTGTCAATCTGACAGTAAGTAAAAAAAATAAAAAAAGATAGATCAGTTAAAATAAGATTGAAAAGTACACATATAATAATTATTATTGTTTTATTAAAAAACAGATCTTATTAAAAGTAGCCCCAAATAGATAGCTGATATAACCTGAAGTCTTCCAGCTGTGTCCACTATGACCACATCCATATTCTTCCTTTTGGCCTCTTCTAGACCTTGCCTAGCTATTTCTGCAGGTTTAACACCAGTTCCTGCTGCATAAACAGGCTCATCCACCTGTCCCAAGCTTATCATTGAATATGAGAATGAATTACGTGATCATGAATTTGAATCAAACATGAATGGTAACAAAGCAGAAAAACATAATAAATATAGAATACAATAATTGCTCAGTATGCTTTCTTTTGGGTGCAAACCACTAACAGTTCAAAATACAATAATTGCCTAGCTATTTTGCAAAAACCAGTTCAGAAACCTCTCCACCCATCAATTTCACAAGTTCATCATGTACAATCTACATAAGTCAGTAACTCAATTAAAGTCTTAAACATAGTTTCAGCACCAGCTAGCTTCCATTTTTACTAGATAGTGGATCACAGTAAGTCTTGGATGAAATGAACCCAATTAATAGAACTTGAGCACTTGATGCTTAGAAATTTGTTTCGAGCATCACTTGTACTTGTCATCCTCAACCCAATTAATAGAAGGTCGGAGCCTTGACCTTCTAACATGTTAAACTAAGTACAAACTGTTCACTGTTTGCTAGGTATATAAAGATACAAACTAACGAAGAAAAAATATAAGCAAAAAACACATCAAAAATTTAGATCAGTCTAACAAACAAATAAATAAAGGCTCATTAGTGAAGCGTCAATATCATTTTAATGGTGCCTACTGAAAGTAGTTCATGTAATTTGATATAAACATTGAATAATTAATATCAAATCAATTTCTAATTCATGTCAAACTAGCTGACAGGAAAGGGAAATTACCTGTAATTCTTTTAGCAGGATCAAATGTCAACATTTTATCAACAAGATCAACAACTAATGGATGGACATGTGGGAAAGCTTTTGCTAACTGCTGCCGAGGATGTTGGGGTAGTTGACAGATATAACATCACTTTTCTACTACCGCATCCTGTGTTAGTTTAGGTATTCCCCTCCCCATAACATTCCATTTATGGTGACAAAATAGATACCAGCTACAACACTAGTTTAATACAAGCAAAATAATTCTTTGTTCCAGCCACAATAATGAATTTTGCACATTTTCCATTGTTCCCATACCTAAAGATTGAGCATTCAGGCCCACCAAATTTAAAATACAAGAAAAATTTACCATTCTCATGTGTTGGACTAGATGTGTCCTTCAATGGAGATGATTTATCTACATTTGTTCCTAGAGGCCACTGTTCCAAGGGACGCGATGGGTGTTAAATACCCCAGAGTGTAGTTGTTTGTTGCTTTTTTGTTTTATTTTCTGATGTACCCAAAAAAAAAAAATTTGTTGGTGTGGTAAGCTCAATTGGTGGAATTATTCAATCACCACAAATTAAAATTTTGTGGATGGAAAAAGTATGAAAAGTTGATCTAATTTACCACACAAACATATATATCATCATCACAGGCCCCAATAACTGAGTTTTGGTGGTGGTTGCATGCTTGCCAGTAGCACACAAATACCAGAGCCAGTTTAGAACAGCAAACACACACAGACAAGACTTTTGACTACAGCTGATATTATCAAAAAGATTAATTAACATGCAAAAGTCTTATTTGAACAACCAAATTCAAAGTATTCTACAAAACAGTGAGTCATCTCCACAAAAACATTTATGTAGGCAATTCAATAAAATCATATGATATAAATTTATCAAGTTAATATACCTGCCATAACATCACTCTTCCCTCGTGCGAAGATTGTGTAAACTAGACGGATCGCATCAAGCCATCCATCCAAGGATTCCCAAGAATCAGCAATCTGTGAAGTATAAATCAGCAAAATTTCCCAATTAAATAAATTTCGTAAGGAAATAAGAAATATAAATATATATGTATATATATTATCTTCCTGGTCCTGTCATCTTTTCCAACAAAAGGAGTTATTTTTTATGTGTGTCTTACATAAAAATGGCAAGCATATTTTCAACATGTCACTGGCACATCTACACAATAAAAGGTCGTGCTCAAAAGCCCCTTTTGTGGTGAGCAAGGGCAAAAGTTCAACAACTAAAACAATGTTTGTAGAGGGGGAAAAGAAAACAGCATGGAAAGGGGAAGAGGACACTTACCAAGAAAACTGGTCCATGAATTGTATCAATGCAGAGTCCTGCACCTCGTGGTAAGGTCAGATCGGCACATGCTGAAACAGAGACTATGTCTGGGACATCAACTTTAATAACTAGTCTATTGGAATTCATGGTATCTCCTGAGTTGCCAGAAAGGCTTCGTGACATCTGCTTCTGCTCAGCTTTGTTAAGCTGCATTAGAAGTTTGAGCGTTTTATATCAAGCACATATCAAGCAGCACATAATATGTTGACAGACAAAAGAATATAGAGGTCTCAAAAACTAAAACACGAAGAAATCATATTCTTAAGAACAAACAACAATGGGATGCCTATAAATTATAATGTAACAATATCAGACATGATCAGGCAAGTGTCACTCTACAGCTTTATGTAAGAAGTTTCCTTTGCATGAAGATTGACAATTTTCATCTATGAAGTACACGGTATAATTTCTAAGAAATTTTTAAATGAAAATCAATGAAGATGGAAAGCCATTTTTCCCACATGGTGCATATTGGCATACATGGAGTGCAAAAATATGTGCTAAAACATTTTATAGATATTGTACTTAGACACTACATTAGTTGGAAATACCAACATGTCCACATATCAAAACTTATCAATTTTCTGAATCCAATACATCATACGTCATGCCCATGCAAGCAACCTAGGTTCCAACTCTCACCCCTAAAATATCAACTACTTAAACATTGCCACACAGAGAAACTTAATTATGAGTTTTAAGAGTGACTTACAGTTGTTTGACCAAATCCTATAGGATTGCTTGTAGATAGCAGTGACGGAGTGTTTGAGAACAAGTCGCCAAACAAATTTGAGTGCAATTTTTATAGCTTGCAGTTGAGAGATCAAGTCTAAAAACTTCATTCTCAAATTTACCATCAGAAAACCATAAGGAGATATTTTTCTATTATCTAGAGGGGTTAATTATAAGGACACCGTCTCAATTATCATTCAACATCACTTGACCCTCAACTAAAAAACCCTAAACTTGGATCCTTCAATCATAAAAATTGTATAAATGCCCCCCTTTTGGGCAGCGCAAGTGATTTGATTTTATAGTGTTTTTTTTTTTGGGTCAATCGGGAAGAGAATATTACATTTTACAAATATCAAAACAGTTATGACAAATTGGAAAATCAACTATCTAAGAAAGTCTAACAATACATACTTGCAAGCCCAACCCCAACAACCACTACATCATAGGATTCTACAGGTTCAGTGGCAAAAATAAAATAGAATTATTAGTGACCAACATCATGCTAACTTATAATCAAGATAAATACGGGCACGAGTCATATCAAAAAGGCTCCTTAGTTGTTGTCCTTCCCACAGCTTTGTTTAGGCTTCAAACTTATTGTACTTGTTTACCCAATCAATAAAACATCATCAATTAGACAATTACCCAACATCTTAATGCATATAAATCTACAACTTAAAACATACTATTTTTCCCCCCTTCTTTTTCCTCTTTGAAATAGCGAGGCGAAAAAAAAACATACCCAACAAGTTCAACAATTCATATTCAATTAACATATAATTGCAACAAATCCAAACAAATTTATTATATTATCAATATCCAAAGGGAGAAAATAGTTAAAGATATGAATCAAGAAAATGCCTTTCTTTTCTTGGCAATCTGCACAAGTAGTTAATAACAGGACCACCCATGTAATACCCCTGTTCCGTAATGTGTTAATTGGTCCTTAATACAAGTATGATTGTGTGTTTAATATGATTTTGTGTGAAAATATGTGGTTTTGAATTTCTATTTGTTCACCGTAGGAATATCTGTTTGATTCTACCGCTTCGGAAATTAAATTGGAGGCCTTATCGGCCACAGAACCCGAAATTGATTACGCCGTTGTGATTGACATAATTTTTAGAGCCTACGGTGAAATTTAATTAGAAATTGATTCGGGTCAGATTAAGTTGATTAAATTGATAATTTAGTACCCAATTGTTTATTATTATTATTTTGGAATAGTGGGGTTTGATGTAAAAGGGCACTACACCCTCAATTCCTTCCCTTATGTGGCTTTGGCTGATTAAACTCTCTAGAGAGAGTGAGAGACCCGAAATTGAGAGAGAAAGGGGGAAATCATCTAAAGTTTGCTCTTGAAGCTTTGGAGTCTTGAAGGCTAGCTCAAGAATTAACCATAGATTGTGAGGATCAAGCTCCTAGGTGAGTGATTCTTGGATTATAATTGTAATTTTGTGCATGTCCAAGCTATCTTGATGATCAAGAACAAGATTGTAATGAAGTTGAGTTGTGTTGTTGAATTGAAGCTTAATATGTGCATGCATGTAAGAAATACTTCGAAATTTGCATGTTTGAGCACAAATGTGTATAACCCATGTGAAATATTAAAGGAAACTCATGTCTTGGTCACCATTTGTGTTATCTAAGTTGAGAATATGGCTAATCCATCACATGCATGTACAAATTGAGAAGATATGAGCTTTGAATGCATGAAATGGTTACATTGGTAATGAGTTGGTGGAAAATGAGCCATGCATGTAAATAAATTATGAAATTGAGCTTCAATATGTTGTAATTCTATGTTTGTACCATGTTAATACATGATTATGTGAAGTTTGGGCCGAAATCATGCATTTAGAGCCTTTGAATGTCGAGATGAAGCTCAAGAACTCAATCTGGAAAACCCAGATTTTTTATGTCCGCTCGAGCGGGTTGAGTGACGCTCGAGCGAAGAAATCGAGCTCCCAGCATTTTCTGCAGACATGGTTCCCGCTCGAGCGGGGAAGTTGACGCTCGAGCGAGGAGCTATGTAGACAGGCAGTACGCTCAAGCGGCCGAGTTCACGCTCGAGCTGGAATTGAAGGCAACCAGTACTTTCGCAGACCTAAGGGTACGCTCGAGCGGGGAAGTCCACGCTCGAGCGGGGACCATATTTTCTGAAATTCTGTTTTTGCATTTTGTGTTCTATTTTCCGTTCTCTTTCACTTGCAAGCACTCTGCCAGTAATCCGTAATTACCGAAGGCCAACTTAACAATAATGACAATAACACAACAATGGGGCTGGCAGAAGCCAATCAATGATAAAAAATAATGTCCAATGAGCTGTGAGGACTTAACTATACAAAACAACTTTCATATACTAACATTGCACAAATACTTAAGTCCAAAACACAATTATATACAAAACAAAAGCATAAGTTAGGGAATTAAATCCCATTATCAAAAACAGTACTAGAAAAAGCCAAAAACATTCTTGTCACTTACACACAGTTTCAAACGGGTGACTCTGGACCACCCAAGAAGCCTTGACAAATTAACGGTTCGGAACCTCATAGTGAGGCACAATAGTTGGCTTGACAAAACGGGGTTCAAGTTGATGTTGTTGAGATCGATCTGGCGCTTGATCACCTGTTCGGTCTGTTAAGACCAACTGTACTGTTTTGCTATTGGATTTACCACATATAAGTTAAGGAACAAAGAAATCCCGTTAGTGAAAGTTGACTGGCAAAACCATAGTGGCGTGTATGCCACTTGGGAAAGGAGAAGACGATATGATCAAGAGATATCCTGAATTGTTCCCACTGAGTCCAGTATTCTTCCAAAATGAAGGTAATTCGAGTTTAGAGGACCAAACTCATTGTAAGGAGGGGAGACTGTGACAACCCTCACCACTGATTAGTGCCAATCTATGATTAAGCATGTTAAGTGATTGATTGACTAAAATTCTGAACTGATTGATTGAGTGTATGTAACTGTCATATTTGATATTATTCACTGGGCTATCGCTCACGCTCATTCATGTCTTTGTAGGTGAGCCAAGAGAAGTTCAAACCCAGCCCCAGTGAAGTCTGCCAGGAATAACATGAGTTTGGAGAGTCAGCCTTGTGTCTCACGCACGAGACTCAACCTTGCCATTCTGTTATGTATTTCCATTTTGTCTTGTTGGCAAGAATCTTGTGTATATCGGTATGTAGTTGTGATATGGGTCAACTTAGTTTTGGATGATCCTGTCTGTACAGAACCTATGTCGCTATGTTTCTGTTGTGAGTTATTAACCTGCATATGTATGGTTTGTTTTGATGTGCCACGTAAGCACAGCTCTATGGACAAAGTTTTAAATTTGGCTTCCCTTTTGGCCCCCTTTACTCTGATGTGTTAAGTCTGTTTTGGTTTGAGGCCGTAGGTAATCTTAGGATTACTGGCCGGTTACGTCCTTAACCCATGGGGGCAGGTTCGGGTCGTGACAACCCATGTGCAGCAGCTTGAAAAAAAAGGAAACTCGGAGAACATACCAAGATGAAAGTTTATCAATTTACATGGGAACTACACTGAAATGATTATTGGGAGAGTTAAAAAGCAAGAAATGCCAAATGAGATTCCAAAAAAAGGAAAAATAATGGACTAAAGAGAGACAAAGCGGATATGATATTACCATGTTAGCAGATCGGAGAGAGAGAGAGAGAGAGAGAACAGATATGATCTTAGAGAGAGCAGATCGGAGAGAGAGAGAGAGAGAGAGAACATATCTGATCTTAGAGAGAGCAGATCTGCATCTCTTCATCGTTGAGCTTCTACTCATTGTTACCAATGATCCACATCCAACGCCACCTGCTTGTCCCGTACATGATTAGAGACACTAACACCACACTCGAAACCCTAGGTAAATCGATTCACCATTGCTGCTGCTCAATCTGATAGAAGAAAAGAGTTTTCCACACAAGGACTAGAAATAAAGGAACAAAAATAAAAGGAGAAAACACAACAAAAGCAAAAAAAAAGAGCTGGAAATCAACTAAATTGAGAGAAAGCAATTCCAAATCGTTAGTTTTAGCCATGAAATTTTATAGATCTTGAGTGAATATAGCAAATCTATATCAGAAAACCCTAACCTTGAGCCCTAGATCGATTTAGATCATAGGGATTCGAACCATCACGGAGATATACGCTCAAATCACGAGTAGAACAAGATTTTTTAGATCAAACAACTGAAGAATTGATGGAGATCGAAGATCCGGCGCCTCAAAGATCCGATGCCTCGATTTCTCTCTCTTCCTGAAGTCACGCCTCTGTTCAATCTGAATAAAAGAATGTCATAGCCTTGAGTTGAGCCACTGTTTAAAAGAAATAACCGGGCACAAAACAAGAGATGGTTTAGTTTAATTTCTTTGGAATTTGAAAAATCTGGACAGATTTTA